TTTTGCTGTGCATTCTTCAGAGAGAGACAGAGAGGGAAAGTGAGAAATCATCCCCTAGGATAATGGCCATCTCATAATCCCTTATCCTCTGTTCCGTTCTCAGGATTCTGGGCATGCATACATACACAAAAGTGTGATTTTTCATGTCACTGAGTCTGAGAGATTCAAACCGTTGTTGGCCACATGAGAGTCCAGCACCTTAACCAACATGCCACTAGCTGACTTCTCTACAAATCTTTTAAGGAAATTACACCAATTCTTCTCAGACTATTCAGAAAGGTTTAATTAGTGGTACTTTCCAAAACTCATTTTATGAATTCACCATTAACCTCATACCAAAAGCAAGGAAAGACAAAACAATAAGAGAAAATTACAATTCAGTATCCCTGATGAATGTAGATACACAAATCCTCAACATAATACCAGCAAACTGAGTTTAATGCCACATCAAAAAGACTATACACCATTATCAAAAAGGATTTAACTCATGACTGTAAAGGCAAATACACACAATAGATCACATCAACAGAATGAAAGATAAAACTATATGGTTGTATCAATTGACACTGAAAATAATTTGACAAAGCACAGCAATCCTTTGTGATTAAGACTCAACAAAATAGGCATAAAAGGTACAACAAAGGCTATATATTGCAAACACACAGTTGACGTCATACTGAAAAGAAAAGTTGCATGTTTTCTCTCTGAGAACTGGAACAAGACAAAGTTGCTCACTTTCTCCAATCCTATTCAACATAGTGCTGGAATTTTTTTTTTTTTTTGAGAGAGAGATATTTTTGCTATAGGGTGTGTGGGCTTGCTGGAAAGACAGAGAGAGATAGAGAGACAGAAAGTGAGAAATCACCCCCGGGTGATCCTTTCTCCTGTCGGTATTTTGGGCACAAGCAAATGCACCTGGCGTGAGTTTTAAGCGGCTAGATCTAGGACTTGAACTGCGTTAAATACATAGGAGTCCAGCAATGTAACTATTACACCATCTGCTGGTCCCCATAGTGCTGGAAGTTTTATAAAAGTGAAAGAAAAAATTAAGTTTACACATGTCAGAAAGGAGTTTGTCAAATTATCTCTATTTGAAGAGAGCATAGTTATAATAAGGATCTTCAAAACGTTCATGGAAAAATGAAATTAAAATATAAATTTATTTGATGCGGAGTTTTTGAAATCCATGCATAATTTTTAAAAATAATATACATTTCCCTGAACTTTCTGAAATACTCACATTTAATAAACTGCAATATATATAACAAATCCCTTAGAACTGATAAAGTAAAATTATAGAATACTCAATCAACATATGAAAATCAGTAGCATTCTTGTACACCAGTACCAAACTAACTAAAGTGGATATCAAGAATGCAATCCTATTTAAAATAGTTACCAGAAAGAAAAAAAAGAAAAAAGAAAAAAGAAACCTAAATACTTTGGAATAAATTTAAACAGGAAGTGGTAAAAGCACTCTATATGAAAAAGTATAAAACACTGCTGAAAGGAGTTGAACAAAACACACAAAATAATGGAAATATATTTCGTATTTATGAATTAGAAGAATTAATTGTGTCAAAATGTCTACAGTGCCCAAAGAAATGTGCAAATTCAATGAAAAATACTCTATCAAAATATCAATGGCATTCTGGACATATATAAGTAGAATGATCATAACATTCCTAAGAAATCACAAGATTCCAAATAGCCAAAGCAATCATATACAATAAAAATAAAGGCATCACATGATCTAATTTCAAAATACACAAAAAAAAGCCATCACAACCAAAAGTGCATAGTATAGGCAAAAATAGACACATATGTCAATGAAACTTAATTGAAAATCCAGATACATACCCATATACATATATAGAATTGTTTTTGACAAATGCCCCAAAGACATTCACTGGGGAAAGAACGGTCTCTTAAGTAAATGGTGTTGGCTTTCTCTATTTCTTTTAACACAATACTGAAAGTCATTTGAATAGGAAAAGAAGAAGTGATATTATAAATTTTTGCAGATGATATGATTGTATGCATAGAAAATCCAAAAGAATATATACACACATATATATACATACACATATATATTAGTGTGTGAAGACAACTCTCAGAATGGGAGAATATATTTGCAAAGTATGCCTCATATAAGGGACTGATAACCAGAACCAGAATACGTACACAGGTAACTGAAGCAACTTACCCACACACACAAAAAAATCAATATAATTAAAAGATGGACAAATGAACTGAGCAGACGACTTTCCAAGGATAACATACAAATAACCAAAAAGCATACAAAAGCATCCCGACATCTCTTATCATAAGGGAAATGCAAATCAAAACCACAATGAGCTAGCACAACTTTAGTCAGAATGGCTAAAATTTAAGAATGATACATGCTGGCAAGGCTGTGGTGAAAAGGGAACCTTTTTCCTACACTGTTGGTGGGAATGTAAATTAGTACAGCCACTGTAAAGAACAATATGGAGCTTCCTCAGAAACCTTCAGATAGAGTTACCATATAACCTAGCAAGCAATTCAACTCTCAGTTATCTACCCAGAGGGTAAGAAAACCCTCAGTCAGAAAAACACTTGTACATCCATCTTTAATGAAGAATTATTTACAATTGCTAGGACATGGAGTCAACCCAAATATTCAAGAAGAGATGAGTGAATTGGAAAAATGTGGCACATTTATTTATAAATGTGAATACTACTCAGTCATAAAAAACAATGATACCCTGACATCTGATATAAAGTGGACAAATATGTAGGATTTAATGCTAAGCAAAGCAAGCCAGACTGTGAAAGACAGGCATTGTATGTCCCCACCCAATATATACAAAATGTCTTCTCTGTATAGAAACAACTGAAAGACTGGAAGGTATAATAGCAGGAGGAAAACTGTAGATACAAGACACAGTAAAGGGGAGGTAAAAGGAGATGAGTAATAGGGAGTGAATAATAGGGGGGTGAGACACAAAAATGAAAAGCTGTCTGCTGATGATAATGTATACGGTAATGTGATTTATAAGACTAATATGCACCATATTTATTCTTGGAAAAGCTATTTTGTACACTGTAAAGATGTATAGTGATTAAATAATATTTTTTTAAAAGAAAGTTTAAAAAAATATATGGTGTTGGAAAAATTCAATATCCATTGTGGAAGAAGAAAATTAGATCCTTATCATTTATGACATACAAAAATCAACTCAAAATGGATTAAATAATTAAATGTAATCCCTAAAACTATAAAATTACTAGAAGAAGAAAACATAGGAGAAAGATTTTAGAACATTGGTCTAGGCAAATAACTTTTTAAAAACATCTGAAAAACTTGTTCAACAAAAGCAAAAATAGATAAATGAGATTACATGAAACTAAGAAAGTTTTGCACAGCAAAGAAAACAATCAGTAGAGTCAAGGAACAACCAACAGAATGAGATAAAATTTTTGAAAGTTAAATATCTCAAAGGGATTAATAACCAGAATATAAACATAGCTAAGTAAAATGCCAGTAAAAATGTAAAAAATTCTTTTGAAAAATGAGTAATCAATCTGAACAGAGAATTCCTGAAAAAAAAATGCATTGGCCAAAAAGTACATGAAACAATGTTCAGCATCACTATTAATCAGGAAAGTGTGATGCAAATCAAAACCGCAGGGAAATATTGCCTCACCTCAGTTAGAATGGCTACTAGTCTCTCTATTTTTCTCCTTAATGTCCTTCCTCGGACTCTACTCCTTCACGCTTTATCTGGTATTCACAACCATTTGCTGTGCTTCCATATCCTTTAGTGATTCAGTTTCAGTCATAGAGTGCAGACACTAGGTGTATATTAAGTGGCAAAACAGAGAGTCATAGCATTAATGGGACAAGGATATTATATATATATAATAAAAAGAGTAATAACAGATAAATCAATCATGTCAAAATGTGAAATGAATACCTAGACAAAATATTTTAAATGTTCACAACACAAAGTAATGATAAGAGTTTAAGGTGTTGTATATATTTATTATTCTGATTTGATCATTACATATTGTATTTATATATGGAAAACTAAACTATACTGACAAATATGTACAATTATTATTTGTTGACCTAATAGTAATAATAACAACATATTAATATATCTAAATTACTAAGAGTAAATTTCAAATATATGCTTTTTTTGTTGTTTTGAGAGATTTTTGCTATAGGGCATACATGCTTGCCAGAAATATAGAGACAGAAAGCAAGAAATCACCCCCTGAGGAGGTGGTCATGCCACAGTCGCCTCTCATCCATCCTCCTCTCAGGATTTTGGGCATGCATGCATACGCACCCAGCGTAAGTTTCAAGTTGCTGGGTCTAGGATTCAACCTTCTGTTGACCATGTGGGAGTCCACTGCTTTGTCCACTGCCTTAACCACTACACCACCTGCTGGCCCCAATTTCAAATGTATTGATCCCCAAAAGTCAAGTAACTAAAGTTATGACTATATTATTTTGCTTAATTTTATTAATACACATTGCATATATATGTCATAATATCACATAATATACCATAAATGTAATATAATTAATATTGTCTACTAAAATAGTACAATTTAAACAAATGAAAAATAGAAATTAGGGTCATTCTTGAACCCTGTAAAGTGCAGGAACCATGCAGAAAACTTATAGACATAACTTTCAATTACCATGTCTTACAAACAAACTTTTTCATTACATTAAGATTATTCTAAATGTTTACCAAGAGTATTTTCAACAAAATAAATTAAACTTGAATAACTTGAGCAGCAGATAATTTGTAAAATTAAATACAAAAGTATGTCTACCTGAATAGAGATTGAAAGAAGAAATAAATATAAGTGATTTTCGTTTATTAGTGATCTGTAGGAGACAAGTCTCCATACAAGGCTATGAGAACAAGCAGATTTCTGACACATGAGGATGAAGAAGAAACAGAAACTATAATATATAGACATCCAATTACGACCTCTTACTAGAGATCTCTGGTTTTAGGAAAGAAGGTCTTGACTTGACCCATGTGCTTTTTTATAGCTTCTTTTATCTCTTTATTCCTCAGGCTATAGATAATGGGGTTGAAGAACGGGGACAACACCGTAAAGCCCAGAGCGATGGCTGTATCCCAGAATAAGGAGTAGGTGGCAGAGAAGCGTAAGTATGTGAGAGCCACATTTCCAAAGAAGAGCAAGAAGACAGTCAGGTGGGAGACACACGTGGAAAAGGCCTTCCGGCGACCTTCGGCTGAGCGGATACGTAGAATCACAGCAACAATACCGACATAGGACATAAAAACCAGCATCATAGTTGTAATAATCTCCATTGCATGGACAATATCCACTATCTGAATCATGACAATGGCTTGTGTGTCTGTGCAGGCCAGGCGCAGCACTGGGAGAAAGTCACAGAAAATATGCTCGAGGCGATTAGAACGACAAAAGGGCAGTGTAGAGATCCAAGCTATCTCAGGGAGGGGAGTGATAAAGCCACAAATACAGCAACTTAAAGTCAGCTGGGTACATAGCTTGGGGGTCATGATAGTGGGGTAGCGAAGAGGGTTGCAGATGGCCAGGTAGCGATCAAAGGCCATAACTGTCAAGAGACACATCCCACTGATGCCTGTGGAATGGAAGAAATACATCTGCAAGAGACAGCCGTTTAAGGAAATGCTCCTCCTTTCACTAAGGAGGCTGGAGAGCATCACTGGGATGGTGGCCGTGGTATACCAAATCTCCAGGAAAGAAAGTGCGCTGATGAAGAAGTACATGGGGGTGTGCAGGTGAGTATTCAGCTGGACCACTGTGATGATGACCAGGTTTCCAACCACAATGAAAGCATAGATGAAGAGCAGTGGAACAAAGCAGATGACAGACTCTCCCCAGGAATGAGGAAAAGCAGAGAAGATAAACTCCTGAGCAGTGGTCCCATTGGGGCTCCTCATCTCCACATTGAAGTGATGGTTTCGATTCCCAGTGTACTCTCACATCTTCTAAATCTAAGATGGTCTGAGAATAAATATGCTTGCCAAAAGCCAGCCTCCAGATAGACTCTGTATTGAAGATGTGGACGAAGACAATGGAAGAAAGAAATGGTTACTATTCCATCATTGCATGTAAGTGAGTTATAAAGCTAGCCAGAAACACAACCAACATTTGAACTAGTGATTCTGAAGTATAAGCATGCATCAGGTCCTTGGAGAGCTTGCTAAAATTCAGACTGCGGTTCTTATAGTAAGAGTTTCTAATTTATCAGATTTTAGACATGGCCCTCAAATTTGCATTTCTAACAAATTTCCAGGTAATATTGATCCTGCTGTTCAAGACACCATAGCTTAAATCATTGTGTTTTGATATGGTAAATGTAGATAAGACATTGAATGACTAGCAAACCATTTAACATATTTTTCCATATGCAAATGTCCTTGATTTCTGAACAATTTCCCCACAAATATTCCAAAAATCTTTTCATGCTGCTTCAGTTCATCTGATTCTTAGCATATTATTTGATTATCTTAATTATAATGACAAAGTTATAGTCAATCTTCCCATCTTCCTCCCCTTTCTTTTTATATATAGTTTACCCTATCTTTATATGAATATTCTTTTTTAAAAAGAATTATTTATTTATTTAATTCCATTTGTTATTATTATTTTTAAATTCAATCAAAGAGAGTGAGAGTGAGACAGAGAGAGAAACGGGAGGAGAGAAAGCAAGCCAGCAGCTCCAGGACTTGAACCACAGTTGCCCATGTGGTAATCCAGCGCCTTTAACCACCATGCCACCTGCCTGCCCTTATATGAATATTCTTAATAGTGATTCAGAAAATACTTACAGGACAATAACTATAGAAATGTTTACATGTGTTTTATGTTCTTTTAAAAGATCATTCTATGTCCTCACATTTCTTCTTTTTCACATATTCCAGGTGAGGGTTCTTGAAGATATTTTATACCAGAAGCCTTTGGTCAATGAAATACTTCATGAAAATTGAATGTATTAGGAAATAAATGCAGTTCTATAGTACATGGGTGGCTCAGTGAGAGGGTAGAATTCTATATAAAAATATAATGTAAGTAACATAGATTAAAGAATATTGTCTTATTAACTTTTTCCTTTACAAAATTTATTTTTATTCTCCATGTTGATTTTCTCTCTTCTATCGGATATTCGCATATATTCTTATCTTGGAGGGAAATTACATCTCTACTGAAACTATATCTCTCTGAATCAAAACAATCTTTTTTTAAATGTGAAATACATTAGGACATATGGAAAATTTATTCAAAATCCCCTTGAATATATTACCTTCTTTTAACTTTTCACATCTTTTTTGTTAAGGTATATAAGTAATTTTATCATTGAAGTCAATGGCCTCTCTCAGTCCTCATTGTCACTGTCCTCCAATGTCAAAAACCAATCCTTGGAAGTCTCTTTTTCCTTTTCCTGTTGAAGGAAGAAACTGCCATTGGTAGTTCCATTTTCCACCTCTTGGGTTTGTAAATAACCCCAAATTCTCTCTTCATTATTTTATTTATATATTTTCTTCCACACACAGGTATCGTTTATATCAAAACCTCACGTATTCAAGATTATCTATCATCTCCTGTTGGAGCTCTATTCTAGTTAATTAACGTGACTCTAAAATGTCTTGCTTTCAAGCTCCCTAAGTCCTACATTTTTTTTTCTCAGGAATCTTATATTTAGAAGCATAACCTTGACCAAAAGTTACCATCCTTAACTAGTATAGGCTGCGTGTGTCCTGCTTCAAATTCGTATCTTGAGTTTCTAACATAAAGTACATTAGACAGTAAGTATATGTGGAAATAGGGCCTTTAAAGAAATAACTAAATTAAAATCAACATTAGGACTGAGCTTAATCCACTACTGTTTGTGTTCCTATGAAAAGAGGAGATTTGCATGCAGACAATTTGGAGGGAAGACCATATAAAAATTCAGGAAGAAGATAACCTACTGCAAGTCAAAGAGAAGTAACTCGAAAGGAAAAACAGCCCTGTGGAAATTTTTATCTTATGAGGTGGTCCTGGAGCTCAGCAGTTAATGGAACCAGATCCCGCAACAACTAACCTTGATGTTGGTTCCAGCAACTTGGGGAACACATGGGGCATATAGGTAGCAATGGGAGGATTAAGGATTGCAGTATAACAATGTAGTATCACCTCTATACCAGAGTGATATTTCTCAGTCTCTTTCTCTACTGAGTGCAAGCATCTTCAGGCTATAATACAAAGAACCTTAATTGTAGATTTCAGTCTCCAGAATTGTGAGAAAATTTATTTCTGTTGTTTCAGCTACTGTCTGTGGATTTTCCTGTAGGCTCTAGCAAACCCTTATCCTCTGAACCCAGCCAGTTTCCCTTGCTATTATTTTTGTTGAACTAGATGCAAATTTTGCTAATTTTTATATCTCTTGTCCCCTCAGTCCCCAAACTAAATGTATTCTCAAGTTTTGTTTAGCTTAATTTTTATTATATCAGCATTATCTTTTATTTTCACTGTCTTTACCCTAATTTGATGCCTAGTTACAATGCTTACAAAATCAATATTGTAATTGAGATTCCAAAGGTCTCTGCTTCCAGTCTTACTTTCCTCTACTCACCCTCTATTCTCTGAAGGTTAAAATTGCAAGAGTATTAGTTTTTCTCATGTGACTTCTGTCATGTCAATATGTAGGTTTAATTTTCTTATTATTCTCTTCCTCAAGCTCTCACTTCTTTTCTAAAGAAAGAAAGGATCTCAAGTCTTTTAGGAAAACTTTTTTTTTTTTTTTTAAAAAATTTAGTTTAATTAATTTATTTTTGCTAAAGGGCACATGTGCTCGCCAGAAAGACAGAGAAAGAGAGACAGAATGTGAGAAATCACCTCCCAGGGGGGATGGGCACGCCGTAGTCCCTTCTCCTCCATTCTCCTTTCGGGATCTTGGGCACGCACGCACACACACCCGGCGTGAGTTTAAGCTACTGGGTCCGGGACTCGAACCATAGTCGACCACTTGGGAGTCCAGCGACATAGCCATTACTCTAACTGCTGGTCCCAGGAAAATTAATTATTAATGAGGTCTTTTATACTATTGCCAGTGGGTGCATGCAGTCACTGAAAAAGATAAAGAGACTAAGAGAGAACAACCCCATACAGAAGTTTCAATCAGAAAACAATAAGCTCTTTTTGTCTGGCATTGATAATGGTCCGGCTTCTTGTATAACTTAAGATAGGGCATTAATAGTTCTCCATTATATTAGCTATGGATGTGGGTGTTCATTGATCAAGCCCCTATCAAACTTCTAACTTTAAAACATTATTTTACACACAGCAGCAAGCATCATTTTTCTTCAATATTGCACTAAAATTTACTTTTTGTTAATTCTTGCAGAAAACTAGCCTAGCGTATCTCTTTGTTCACTTGCTAATTACCAATCCAATTCAGCAAATTCTTATTCCACACATATAACTTACATTTTCTGGTCTCCAAACATCCTAAGATAAACCCTCCTTCCTAAAATATCCTCCTCTCATCTCCCTTTTAATCTCTACCTTTTTTTCCCTAACCAAGTTCTGCATGTATTCTTTCTACTTTTAACAAGCTAATATCAAGTGTATCTAAGAACTATATTTTTACATATGTGTATGTGTGTGTGTGTGTGGATACGTGTGGAGAGAGAGAGAGAGAGATACATGAATATGTATACCTATATTCATTATTTCATTTTTTATTAATTTTTTAACTTTTCTTGATGAGTTACATATGTACCTTATCCTTCCTATAAGTCCTACTGTTTCCAACAGACATCAGCATATTCCCTAACTATGGCTTTCAGAACATAAATCCACCTACTAAACTAGGCCACTGGCTCAGGAAGATGCATTATCAACAAGCCTGATTTTTATTTATTTATTTTTTTTTGGAGAGATTTTCGCTATAGGGCACGTGTGCTCGCCAGACAGACAGAGAGAGACATAGAGACAGAAAGCAAGAAATCACCCCCCAGGGGGATGGTCATGCCACGATCCCTCCTCCTCCATTTTCCTCTCAGGATCTTGTGTACACACGCACATGCAACCGGTGTGAGTTTTAAACCACCGGGTCCGGGACGCGAACCACGGTCGACTACGTGGGAGTCCAGCAACATAGCCATTATGCTAACTGCTGGTTCCCAACAAACCTGATTTTAATACCTTAGTCTCCAGAACAAATGTGAATAAGCCAACAGAAGATGTGAGTCAGAAAGAAAGAAAACATCAGTTTTATCCATTAACTTCTCCTTTATCTTTATCCAAAATTCAGTAATGATAAATCTAGTGCACATGTGAATCCATTAACTGCAAATCTCACTTGAATCTTGGAACATTTCTTTCTGAAACAGTTAAAATATAAACTACAATGCTCGTATATGGTTGAAAAACAATCCTTTGAGTTTAGGTCTTATTCCCAATCTACATGTTTCCTAGAGAATGTAATTATTTAAGCCTTCATGCTTGACACTAACTTGCTCTAGAACACGGTTTACTTACTCCTCTTTAAAACCTGCCCAGCAGCTACTCACATTGAGACTGCAAGAATGTTCTTTCTCTGGATATATCTTACTTCCCAAAATTAGTTAATGCACTGACCTTGCTGATGTTGGGTTCCAGAGTGAGAACGAACATACCTGAAGATTACCTTTCCCTGCCCTGCTGTGGGGTATTTAAAACTACAAACATTGGTTGCCCTTCTGCTACATTTTTTTATCCCGACTGGAAGAGAAACTGAATAGCCTTCATCAGTCAGTGATACATACACATGCCTTTCCCTGTAGGGTTTCTCTCCTCTCCATCCCTTTCTCTCTCTCTTTCTCTCTCTCTCTCTCACTTACATATACATAGCCATAATTTTTCTCTCTTTCTGTCCCCCTCACTCTCTGAATGTGTGTAGTTTTTCTTGAATATA